TGCAGTCTTTGCCAACCATTCTTTGTCAAATCTTCATCAATTTGTCTCTTTTTCTGTCAAACACCTCATGTCGTTCCCCAGATTTCTCCTGTATTTCGTTTTCATTCCCGTCTCCTTGGCTTTTTGTTCCTCATAGTGGTCCTTCAGGTTTTTATTTGATGCCTGTGGTATCCAGGCTTGGAGCAGACTTCAGAACCTCAATTCTCAATTCTCAGAACCTCAATTCTCTCTCTTCATGATAGATAATAGTCTCCTGGGCAACTGCCTCCTTGGTGGACCACTTACTTTTGCTCAAAGCCAGAGCTGCTTCCAACAAAGACTAAGGGACAGAGAAAGAAGGCAGCTGTAGCAAGGGGTTCCACTTCATTTTTTTTGCATAATCTTTGGTCCAGATTGGCCGATCTCTTCCCTCTGTGTAGCAGAACCAGATCTGATCCTGGTCCACGTCCTGGCCTGTTCTGATGCCTCGGTGCATGGAGGAGATTCTCAGGATTCTCTGTCAGTCGCTTCACTCCACGTCTGTTCAGCCATTTATCCAAAACAGATTGATTCTTTGCCAGAAGAGGTTCGAATTGTCCCTTCTGTTTGGGTCCACCAGTGAACGTTGGGATATCCACTCTGTCAAGAATCCAAACAGCTTTTCAGAGTCTTTTTTTTTTCAGATTTAAGATGGGCACCTCAAATCTTGGTCATATCTTGGTTATATCCAGGGATTGTGATAAAAAAATATATAATTTATTCAAAATTATTTCAAAGAAAATAACACACCAAACCAACTGAATCAATCAGAGACACGTTTGCAATCTTCGGAAGCGGGAAGTATTATAACCAAAACTAAAACTGTTACCATAACAACACAGATGACACACTAATGTATATAACCATCTTCCCAGGAGACTGTCATCCAATTAATTAATTGATCATATGCATTGACCAAATCAAAGAATGAATTTGAGAGAATTTTTATCAGTTAAATGTAGATTTTTGGAGCCTTGAAGAAAGATTTAAAGTCAGGACTCAGCTTCAAGCAGTTTCATCTCCAGCTTGTGTACAAACTCTAACACACAGGCTTTCTGCCCGGCTGTCATTTGTAATGGTAAACCACTTAAACAGAGCCGTTCTGGGCCAAACTGTGTCCATTAGTCCACTAGTCCATTTCCATAGTTAGGTTGATCACTGTGCAATACTTATTCTGTGCAATGTTCTTACCCCTGCTTTATGTGTAAAACATCAGTTGAGTTGGACTTAAGTTAACTTTTATAATACTGTACTGTAACACGTTCCACAGTTAAACTACCTCTTCTGTTTTATAGGACTTACACTTTTATAGTTTTTTTTGATTGCTTTTTATCTACTGTTGGAACACTCAATTTCCCCCTATGTAGTAGTTAGATCTGAATTTTAACACCCATGTTATGATAGTATTGAAGTCAGCCCATTATCACCTAAAGAATTCCAGTTGTCATAGCTAGTACTTTTTCTGTTTAATCTGTCCGGGGTTTGTTCTTAAACGCTGTTACTTTTTAATGCATTTATAATATTTTCTCAATTTTGAATTGTGTTGTTCACAAAATCTGTTCTCTTTGCTATTGCAAGTAGTTGTGTCCTACACCAACAAACAAGACAAAATAGTTTGACTACTAACTTTTAGATTTTCCTTTGTCTGAAGTCATAACATTATGTTTTCAAAGTCAAACTAAGAACCATCCAAAAACAAAGAGTTAACTAGTTGAAACAAAAAAGAGTAATGTAGATGACATATTCTTTTTATTTTTGTTACACATCTGATCCTTCTTGATGCCCTGCTGAATTATTCCCCACAACTTGAAGTTTTCCTAAAACAACCAGCTTAATTAGTTAATGCCAGACAACAACTTTTTCCTTTTTTAGTGTTGACGTTATCTCTGTTACTAACAAGCCATGGAAAGCGAGGGTGGTGCTTGACCCTTCTATAGTCTTACCATTTGCTACACACCCTTTGGGACCTCCTGGGACTTATTGATCGGGTCTAAGGAGGTATAAATTCTATACCAATTTGTTATGTCTTGTGTCCAACGCATCAGTACATATATCGAAGTTATTATTTTATTATTGCTGGAAAATTGGACCGCATTTGGAGAAAAAAACAAGCAACAAATTGTTAATTGTTTTCGCTGTGGTTATGATCAGAGATGAGTTTATCATTTAGAATAGTTTAGTTTTATGGGTCGATGTGTAACTGTGTGTAGGCAGGACACCTCATAACACCGACACACAATAGTCATGACAGGGATGGGGTCCTACTTTGAGCTGAACTGGTCCTAACCAGCTACCTCAGCTTTTTTT